GTTTGGGTTCATTGAGAACATGGTTGTTGTTCAATAATAAAATTATTCCTCAAAAATACAACTTGCCTAATAATTCTACACTCCCTGTAGAAAAAAACCAGAGAGCTGCAACAAGATCCTTTCTGCTGAAACTGAAAAATGACTGCGAGTTTAAAAAGGCAGCAGGATTAATCTGCATTAACCTGCAGAAAAGAGCCTTTCCTGTTCTTACCAGCGGCTGTCGGGAATGTTGCATTCAGATTAAATCAATCGGTTTAGTTTTTCTATCACTAAAGGTCTCAACTGTAACAGTCTGTGTTTTTGTTTGAGAAAATGGACGATTTTTTAGAAAAACTTCAGCATTAACACGCTCCAGATTTTCTCTAAACAACTGGATTCTTTGTCCTTGTTTGGAGCAGATCTCGTGTGTGTGTGTGTGTGTGTGTGTGTGTGTGTGTGTGTGTGTGTGTGTGTGTGTGTGTGTGTGTGTGTGTGTGTGTGTGTGTGTGTGTGTGTGTGTGTGTGTGTGTGTGTGTGTGTGTGTGTGTGTGTGTGTGTGTGTGTGTGTGTGTGTGTGTGTGTGTGTGTACCGGTCTATACATCAAAGTGAGGACCAAAACAAGTTTTTACCTGCAAACTGAGGACATTTTGCCGGTCCTCACTTTGGGACAATGTTACAGAGCTCTGCTGGTCATTTTTAGAGGTATGGTGTGAATTAAGTTTTAGTTAAGGTTAGCGTGTGTGTGCTTGTTTTGAGATTGCCAGCTTGTTATCTGAGCTTAGTACTGAGCCAGCAGTCAGATTACGGATGATGTTCTGCCAGTTTTGATCTCTTGAACCTGGAAATGGAAAAGCAAACTGCACTAATCAGAGGAGCGTTTTCAGGATTTCCCCAAAAAACAAGTCTTATTTTCAGAGGAAAACGCTTCAAAACAGCCTTGTGAAGAAGTTTTCTCTGATTTAACTCTAAAAAATACTTTTGGAAAATGAAGAGATAAATGATAAATGACCCCGCACTTGTATAGCACCTCTCAGAGTAAGGACTCCAAAGCGCTTTACACTACAGTGTATCATTCATCCATTCACACACACACACCCTATGATGTAGCCACAGCTGCCCTGAGGCACACTGACGGAGGCGAGGCTGCAGAGCACAGGCACCACCGGTCCCTCCAACCACCACCAGCAAGCAAGGGGGGTTAAGTGTCTTGCCCAATGATACAACAGCAGAATTCTCTGTCCGGAGTCCGGATCGAACCTGCAACCTTCTGATAGCTGGACAACCCGCTCAACCTGTTGAGCTACTGCTGCCCAGTAAGAGAGAAGATGGGTAAAGGAGGCTCCACTTCAGCATCTCAACCACAGCCCTTCACCCGTGACTTTAAAGTCACTCCAGTTCACTACTGAGCTCTGAAAACATTCAGCACACACAAACCCACAGAGGCTGGTTCAAGTCCTAAAGGTGGCTGCAGCAGGGAGTGGGCACAGTTAGGCCACGTTAGCTTCATTCACCTTCTCAGGAACGTCAAACAGAAACAATCTGATACGTCTGACACTTTTAATGAAAACATTACATTTCTCATTTAAAAGCTCAAACTGTTGATTTCTTTAAACAAAAGCAGAAACTGCAATTGATGTAAAGTAACTTGCAAAATCTCCATGTTTATGGCCAGATAGTCCATCTAACTGCATCACAGAAAGTTTTGGAGAACCACCACCTTCTAGGCTGAACATCACAACATTTCAACACTGATTAAAATGGATATTTGGTTTGTTTTAGTCAGTAAACCTGCCTAAGGACTGTTTGTGGTGTAACATCAAAGAGGAGGTTGAGTTGTGTCTTAGGCTTATATTTAAGCATCTCTGGTCGTCCCTGTTACAATAACTCAGCTGCCCTTGAGCAAATAACGGTTCTAGGGAGCTGAACCTTAAGTGAAAGTAAATTAACTTTGAGTAAACATTTAATCCTGAAGCCCTGAGGTGTCGGGTTCATTATTTCTTCCTGGCTGAGTTTTTCTCAGACATCCTGGATCATCGGCTGAGGAAGGATTCATTCCTGCCTACACACTCAGGTGACGCAACTCAGACAACCTCAAAGGAGCCGACAGCATGCGAGTCTGTTTTCCACCTCTCGGCGACAGTTCAGCACAGGCATCTGCAGAGGGAGGAAATAAGAGGGTGTAATACCTTGCTCAAGGGCTCCTCAGGTCCCTGTGAGGCTCTACAGGCCCCGCAGTGGGAGCCTACCCCCAGAGCAGAGGGGCTGGGGGGGGGGGGGGGTTCATGCATGGAAATAGAAAAATTGGGTCAAACTCTGCGGGATGAAGAGGAGCTTTGCGTTTCCAGAGCCAGCTAAGCATGTAAATAATGCAGCGGGGCGTCTGACCCCGTTTCTCCTCATTTGTTTACATAAAAAGACATTTTACATGAAAGTGTGTCACCTTTATCCCCCCTCATCACTGCATCCTCTCATATCCTCAAAAGCTGCAGTTTGCAGTTGTGGTAACATGAAAAATGCACTGAGAGGATTTGTGCTCAGCTGTAAAAAAATCACTTCCCCTTATCCTCCTTTTCTCCATACATGGAGCCCGGCAAGGACTCCAGACTCCATGAGAAAGCAGCTGAAATATGACACTGCTCTGAGCAGAGAGTGAGTCTGCAGCAATGTGACATATCAAGGGGGGGGGGGGGGGGGGGCTAATGAGAAAATCAATAACCAGGCAGCATCTTGGAGGGAACTCCGCTCTGTCGTTTTTGTAATAAAATAATAATAAAATACAACCCCCCCCCCCCCCCCCCCCCAAAAGAACTCCTGAGGTGAAAACTATCTCCAGCAGCTGCACATAATCTAAACAGCATGCAGCACTCTCTTCCAGCATAACAACTCCTTACTGACAAACCCAAACACCAGCCTCTGCAGCAGATTCCCAACAGACATGCAACGTGCGCTGCTGGAAATGTACCTCAACGGGAGAAACCAGCCAGCAGATCAGCTTAAAGTGAATATTTGAGTCGTTAATTGTGCAAAGGACAACCACGTTTTGTTTCCAGCTTGAGAAATATAAAGATTTGGCTGTTTTGAATAAAAACTAATTTCTGCAAACATTAAAAATTCCGGTTTCCATCTAAAGACCGTGTGATTTAAATCACTACCAGCAGAATTTACCTTAAATTACTGCATACATACACCTTATGTTCAATAAATAGTATAATAAAATATGTAAACGTTTCTGCAAAACAAGCAGCTTGTACTAAATACACAAAACAGAAAATAATTAAAAGAACAAGAAAATATGAATCTGTCCGCAAAGGTCAAATGAGTTCACATTACAGCAGGGATCAGTTAAAGATCATTAAGAAGAAAGATGTTGTTTTGCGCGTGATTTAAACTCAACATTTTTATGTCCAATAAAATCCTCAGAGAGCAGATATTTAAAAAGTTGTTTCTTTGGATTAATTCCTTATCTCTAATGGTGTATTTGTGAAGAAGCTGCAGGTATTTCCTGTCTTTAAATCATATCAGTATTATTTTCCTTGGCAGACAGAACCAGGTGTGTTTCCGCATCTGTGCTACTAAACATCATCCTCTCCATCCAAACCAAAGCCAACATCCAACTAAAGCCCCGCAGCGGCACACGGGGAATCATTACCCACTGGACTTGAACTTGTGACAACTCCAGCTCAGCGCTGTTCCCGCTTCCAGCTAAAACTCTGAGCCGAACTCTCCTCCGAACAGCGACCCAAACAGCTGCAGCAGAACCGGGGCAGAGCCACCGAGCTCAGCGGGGAAACCCAAGAACTCACCCTCAGACAACTCCAGCTCCAGCTCGGCCAGTTTAGCCCGAACCTCCGCAGGAAGCGGCACCGGGTCCCGGTCCGCCATTCCGTATAGAGAAACAGACTTTGTTATCCGGTTGTTTCCTCCCGGTTTTGTCGGTCCGAGTTTCTCCAAAGAACCCCCAAAAAATCCAAAGTCAGTCGGACTCTCAGCGTGGTGCTCCGAGTGCGGGAGCGGCGTTGTGGTTCATCCGCAAAACAAGCGTGAAGCTAGACGGAACTCTAAACATTCACATCCGGTGGTGGCTTTCAAAGTAAAAGCTCCTCACTGACACCTGTAGAATCAGGTCACTAGGGGGCGCTAGATTTCATCAGCTGTTTTTCTATTATTGCAGTAATAGCAGGGATAAAAGAGACCACCAACAAAAAATAATCGAACTGTATCGATCGTATGTACAGTCTATGGTATCGATAAGTATTTTCTGACTACGTTTACTTATCTAATTCTAATCTCACTATAACACAGGCGTGAGTGTGTTTTCCTTGAAAAGCTTTGCGCTGATGAAGGAACAGCAGAGGTTATGCTGCCACCTTGTGGCAACCAGTGCACATTTGCTTCAAGTAAAAAATAATGGTACATTTTCAATTAAAAAAACTTCTATCCGTTCATTGTAAAAATTCCTAAATTATTAATTATATTAAATGTATTGTTTTTGAATTGTCTTTTTGAAACCCAAAGAGGAAAACTCGTATTTTTCTTTTTTAGACCAGCAGTCCCCTCATAGGCCACCTTACTACAGGATAAACACCCGATTTAAATGAGTTAACAGGTTTCAGCTGAGCTTGGTTTGCTGCGGCGGTAATTAGATGATTTGAATCAGGTGTTGTAAAATACCTAAAAACCATTTAAACTCCTTTAAACTAGTTAAATTACACCTAATTGACAGTCTGTATAGGTTTAGATGTTAATTCCTTTCCTCTTAGCTTACAGAGGTTGATAGATGTTTTGCAAAAGATCATTCCAACCTTGAAACTGTTAAACTTTATAAGAGCAAGACTGGATAATTTCTCTGGGAATAACCACATCATCTGTAGAAATATTCTAAAACAGCTCATTATAATTCTGCAGTTTCTTTAAATATTTGTCTTTTTACTAGAAAACCTGCACATCAACTTACATGTTCCTGAGGTGATTTTAGGTTTCAAATCAAATATCAAAATCGAAGAAAAGAAACAGCTCCTCATCAGTGCCTAAGTCTTTATTTTTCAGTAAGCTACATTTTTCTCCAAATTAGACAGTTTTACATCATGACACGAGGGTAACTTAAATTATCTATAGCTGACATGTACGCTTGATTCCAGTCTCAATGGAAGAAAGACTCCAAAAATGTATTAAAGAACCAAAACAAACAAAAGCCCTCAACTGCAACCTCCATCCCGCTCATGTTAAAGGTTTCCTTAAGCAAAGTTATGTGTCCCAACATGACGCAGAGTCATCGATTGTCCACAGCTGTTAACGTAGCACAGGAAGTGTTAACGGGTTAGACCACAGTGAGTTGATTAACAAGTTTCCAGTCAGTTGTTGTGCATTCGTTGTCATTTCTTTGATAAGGTCAACCATAAAGGGGTCCATTTCTATGATGAGATGCAAAAGAATGGCACTGTTAAATGACTTGGCGGGGGGGGGGGGATTCTGAGGTGACCGACAAGCTGATATGAAGTGTGACGCTGCGCAAAGAAGTCTGTGACAAAAATCGAACCGAAAAAACTTAACGAAGCTCTTTTAGATTCCAGAGGCATGAAAACGACCCAGTCTCGGGTACCAGTCACCTGTTGCATCAGTCTGGATTTACAGGTGGTACATTTTTCTTTTTTAATTCCACATGCACACTTACAGAGATGCTCAGGTAGGAATCAGCTGAGTCTCGACACCTCACACAGTCAGTGGAGTCACAATAGCTCCAATACAACAAAAAAATTAAGAAAATAAAACGAGACAGTCTGATTTTTATGTACAAGTTAAACTGACCAGTCAAGACAAAAACTACAGGTTGTTTAATGGCACAGTTTGTTTTCTTCAGCCACTAACATGAGTTCATGGGTCTGCTTTTTATGTCAGCAAAAAGAAAAAAGTCCAGTTTTGCATCACTGAAAGCCTGAAAATAACTCATTTGTACATTTATTATTCAGATGAACACATGAAAGCTGAAAACAACCAGAAACCTCAAACCAAAGGAAGTACAAAACCTTGTTATTTGGCTGAGAAGCAGATATGAACACGCAGGTGGGAAACCTTTTAGCCTCTGTAGCAAAAAAAAAAAAAAAAAAAAGATTTCTTAACAAGAGAATTAAAACTTAATCACCTTTCAGGCTTTTGGCAAATATCTCCCACCTGCTGCAACAACATGAAGGTTTTCTACTGAGCTTCACAGGGATCCATTTCTGGGCGTCACACATCAGGTCACCCTAAAGCCAAGAGTTCATCAGGCATCCTCTTCACAAACCAAACCTATAAATCTGCTTCACCTACACTAAATTCAGAGGATTTACTTAATTTGAGGGTTTTATTTTTTCATATTGATGCTGATCGTCTCCAGTAATAATTTCAAAACAATCAAGAACTTAATATAAAAAAAAGAACCAAAACCTTCAGAACATAAATAAACTGGTGATAAATCTGTGAAATCTGAACCAAACAGGTTAAAGTTTGCTAAGAACAAACCAGTTAAGCTTCCAGAACCACCTCTGTTCCAGTCAGAAAGCCCATCAACCAGCTCTGGAAATGTTTAAAGTTACAGGTTTTAAAACTATAATCAGATTCTTGGGAGAAAAACTCAGCTGTAATTTACATTTAGTACTTTTACACTTTTTTGTAACAAAAGGCTGTAATATTATAAATATCTGGGTTCGTTCGCAGGACCCCGTTTGTCATCTTCCAGTTTCACCAAATAAAATGATTAGGACTCATTCGACATGAAAAACCGATGGAAATTTTCAGCTCAGGTTTCCTGTTCCTCCACTTTAAACCTTTCCTCCAACATGTTCACACAAGTTAAATTTTACAGAAGAGTTACAAACATCTCAGCTATACACAGCACATTTAGGGCAACAATTAGTGTTCAAATGTACCTGAAAACGATGCCTTTAGCTTGTTAAAACAGCAGATTTGTCGGTTTTATTTGACTCTGCATTAGTGGCTCCTGCTGCTCTGTAAATAATAAATATGTAGTGATTTTCTTCTACATTCAGACCCAAATGTGATCAAAGAGGACGCAGGAGGACTCTCAGTACGGCCGGATGCTAGTCGGTACCACAGACTCTGAGGGGAGGGGGCGGGGCCAACCGTGCACCTGAACACTCAGGTGTGTCTAAATAAAGAGATGGAATGCAAAACGAAAGAAGAGGAAAATAATGAACACGTTACACGGCAGCGCTGCACGGCGGAGCCAAAATCAAACTCTGCACACTAATCATTAAAAAAAATTTAAGAAAAATATTTCCAAAAGCACAAGATTTTTATATCCTACATCCAGCGACATTATAGTTAACAAGGATCAATATAGTTTTATAATCATTTTAAGGTACCTCTTATATTTTCTGAGTATTTACATCTGTACAAGCCAAGCACAAACTTCAAAGTGCACATATTTAATACAGTATTGACTAGTTGCATTTACAAAGTTTATATTTTCCCCTCCATAAGAAAAAATAAACCTGAAACTAGCAAACAGGAACCAAACGAACAACCAGAACATTTATGTTTCATACAATTTACAAAAAAAAGAGGAGGAAAAAGAAAAGCAAAACCTCCAGATTTGAGCTCGTTTTCCACAAGTGGAGCTTCGTTTTGGGGATCTGTTCTGTTCTTTTGAAAAGAAATAACAACTCTATGCTCGTCTTGTAGAAAAGTTAAGGCAAAGTTATTTTTCAAGTTTAAATAAAATTCAAGTTTTTTCAAACACTGGATGGATTTTTGAAGCATTTTGTATCTACAGAGATTTTTTCTTCTTCTCCCAAAACAGCCAAAAGAAAACTCAACATTTCTAATGAAAAAACAGCACTCTTCATAAATAAGTGGATATGGTGCTTTTTTATCTTTTTAACCATTTCCACCAATAAGGAAAATAAATCTAAACCATCTGAGTGCATCAAAGTCCTTCAAATCAAACAAAACTAAGTTATTTTAACTCCTCTTTAGCGTCCAAAGGAAAAGCAGCTCTGACCTGTTTATAAAAATGATGTTTTCCCTTTTTTCTTTAGATGGGCTCCAGTTTTCTTAGTGGGATTACCCAGAATGCTTTTAGTTGCAGGAAGACTTGAGGGAGACGTGTGTAGCCCCACAGCGCAAATGTTTCTACTGACAAGTGTGTGTGCGTGTGCGCACGTCCGTGTGTGTTTCTCAGTGGTTTTAAGCAGATTTTGCATCTTCAAGAGACAAATGGGACAGAATCAAAGAGGACCAGGACGGGAGCGTCACATCCAGCTGTCAGATCAAAACTACACTTTTCCTGAAGCTGTTGGTTAAGTTTTACATTTTACCGTAAATCCTCTAAAACCGCTGCTACTCTGTCCAAGTGGCTGCTACAGAAGACAGACGCGCCGATCGAACAAATAACAGAATCAAACCAACTATTTACCTCCCTGAACAGGAATTCTGGTCGCTTTATTCCAATGTTTTCCCAGATGATTAATAACCTGCATCCGGAAGCAAGGCTGTGGTAACTCTGTGCTTTAAATTCTGCTCCTGTCTGACATGATTTATCACCTAAAACAGGAGCAAGGAGGATCATGCTTTGGTCACAGTTTCCAGTTGGTAAGAAGGAGAAAATCAACAAAGTTATGACAGGAAAACAAAACCACATAATCCTGGTGATGGAAGAAGCTGATTTTTTTTTTATCTGTAGGATGAGGTGTTCCCTGATGACATTCCTGCTCCGAATCCAGCACCTTGTGCCTATTAAATTTAATAAACATGGAACGATTTCAACATTTTGTTCTTCTTTTACATTCAACAAAAATCCACCATCATTTAACTTTGAACAAACTAATTCCACCTTTTCACTTCCTTGATTGAAACAGCTTTCAACCTGAATCCGGACTGAACAGCTAAACTCCAAACCACGGCAGCTCTGTCCAGACAACAGATCCAAGAAAAGAATAAATGTTTCATATCAGAATCATTAATAATAATAAGCAGCTGGACGTCTATGATGCTCACAGGTCGCTGCAGCAGCTTCAACATTCAGAAAAACAACTAAAGGCTTCTAATTCCCTCCTGGAAAACCATCAGATTCCTTTAGGATTCTTGAACCAACTTTTCTGCCAAGGCAGAGAAAACAGTGTGAAAAGAAACCAGAGGTGTGTAAGAACTGTTTCCAGGCTTCTACATCAGCACCAAATCTGAGACGGGTCTGAAGCAGCTCCACCTCCCTGTGACCAGGATGTGGATGTTCGGATGTGTTGGGATCAGAGCTGCTAGTGACATTCCTTCCTTCCTGCTTGCAGAGCTTCAGATTTTTCTCTCAAACCAATTCAGCTGAAAGGGAGTTTAAATCCACCTCTCATCTTAAAGTTACTAACTACTCTAGAGGAAATTAGAGCAAAGTGCTGGAAAGCTGCTCTATTCAACATGCAAGATGAAATAATGCTCAGCAGAAAGCAACGGCATCCGGAAAACGTTTGTTTCTGAGTCACGCGCCATTCCTGTCCACCTCTGAAAATAGAAAACCTCAAATCAGCCCAAGCTTTGTCGGCTGTTAGTGGGGGGGCTAAGTAAACCAGCACAGGGGGGAAAGGTTTCACAGCAAGAATATTTAGAGGAAGATGCTGGAGAAAAAATAGTAACCATGACAACAGTCCATAAGTCTGCAAACAAAGCTCAAGGCGTGAAAAAACAACGATGTTAGTGTAAATGATCAAAAATAAAAAATAATCCGTCTTAATTAGAAAAAACATCAGAAAGTAACGAACCACAACTCAGCTGTGCCACTCTGTACACAAACAAAGGCATTGCTATGGCAACCAGACAAGATGGAGTCCGTTTTTAATGCAGCCTTTCCCAGAATCCTTTGGGGTTTCTTCTAACAATGCCCTGCTCACACGCACACACACACACCCCTGATTTAATCCCACAAGGCCATTTGGACAGAAAAGGGAGGATTCTTTCAAACATGTCACTTAACAGAAGAGAGAAAAAGTAAAACTTAAAAAAAAGAAAAAGCAAATAAATAGAAGGTTAAAAGAAAGAAGCGGTGCTCTAGGCGCACAGTAAAGTGCTTCATGTCTGCAAGCCCTGATCCAGGAAAAAAGGCGTCCTCTCTGCCTGTTTGCTGACTGTGACTCTGGGATGAGTGTCGAGTAGCCCTGACTTTTGTCAACATATCACGGAGCGTGGTGGGGAAGCAGGGGACGCCCTACTGAGGGGACTTGGGTGGGGTGTGGTGGGGATCTTTGCTGGGGGGTTTCCCTGGGTGGGGGGGAGGGGAGGCCCATCGCCCAGCCGGCCTCCGGGCCTCCTTTAAGGGCCTCCCCGGGGCAGAGCCGTGTTTGGAGGAGGAGTGGTGTGTCTCTCTGGCCTTGGCCACCCCTGAGGAGGGGGAGGGGTCAGTGCACTTCCTGTCCTCAGCTGTGGCGGTGGCACACGTTGGCTTGGCTTCCTTAGGGGTGGGTGAGTGCTGTGATGAAGGGGTGTCCTTCACTCGTTGGCAGATTTCAGCGTAGGATGGCTTCCTCTGCTCCTGATCAAGGAAAAGGGAAAAGTAGTAAAAACATCAACTTAGAACAGAACAGTCTTTGATCCCACAGTGGGGAAATTCACTTGTTGAGGCAGCACATACACAGATAGAGCTGTAGAGACGCATCAATAACATTCACGACAAATCTGGATTCTGCCTGCTTTTCCTCCAGTTCACCCTCCTCTCCATTTTCACCAACATCTCCGACAAATACCGAAGACCCGGAACAACGTCCGCTACCAGATACCTTTCCTGTTTGGCCTGCTTCTGTCACCTGGCAAAGACCAAAAACTTCCAGGGTCAAAGCCGCTGCTTCGCCTCTACCACAGATTTAGGAAATCACCGGATTAGCGTTTCTCCCTTCATAAGGGAGCTTCTTTCAGACATTTGAGGACATCTCTTTATGTGGTAGCAGTCTCTCCTTCGCGCTGGTCTGTTTGCTATTTGGTTTATTTAAACTTGGTAACTTGAGCAAGACATTGGTAAATCTACCGTTAGCATTTTTGCTAACAGCTTCTTGCGTTGGGATAAGCCGTTACATTTTGGTTTAAGCCTGATTTATACTTTTCCGTGAGCTCCGTAACAGAGAGACGCACACGGAGTGTCAGAAAGGTTTTCACATTCAAACTTCTGTTCAGGCAGACAAGTGTTGCAAAGCAATTCCCCGCCAGGACAACAGAGGGCGTAGCGTTGTCCTGTGGTATCCTGCCACCATAACACTCATGTATCGGGTGTCCGATAGTGTATTTACTAATGTGTTTATTAGGGCTGTAGCGAAGCCTCGACGACGTCGACGGCTCGATTCTAAAAATTTGTCGACGTCAGATCCGGAAGTCGACGCACCACGCCCACTTGTTGCATCCCCAGGAGTTTGTAAATAGAGGAGGAATCTGCCTGTTTTTCCTCTAGTTCACCCTCTTCTCCGCCTTCACTAACATCTCCGCCAAATACCGAAGACCCGGAACAATGTCCGTCCACTACTAGATTATTTTCCTGTTTTGCCCGCCTTCGTCTCCCGGCAACGGACAACAACTTCCGGGGTCAGATGCGCTGTTTCGTCTCTACCGCAGATGTAGGACATCACCGGGAGCGTTTCTCCCTTCATTAAGGAGCTTCTTTCAGACATTAGGAGAGCTGTTTTGGTGGTAGCAGTCTCTCCTCCGTGCTGGTCTGTTTGCTGCTGGGTGTTTTTGTTTCATTTAAACTTGGTAACTTGAACTTAATGTTGGTAAAGCTACTGTTAGCATCTTCGCTAACAGCTTCTAGCGTTGGGATAAGCTGCTACGTTTTGGTTTAGAGTTCATGTTTTTTGTGGTGCAGATTTCCCTTTTATTACATTTAGAGTGTTGTGGGTTTTCGGTTTAGTGTAAAATATCACCTTGAGTTTGGTTTAACCACCCAGTTTAGAGTTTGGACTTTAGGTGATCCTTATTTTGGTCCAGAACCCTGAAATCTTTGCCCAGTGGGACATCCCTAGTTATTTGTACTTTGTTTTGATTCCCCACAGGCAGAATTAGTTTTATTATTCCCAACCTGTGGATGGAAAGATTTATGATTTTTTGTAGTTGTAAATAAACCTGATCATCATTTTAACTTTTAAATCCCATTATTGTCCCTTCCTTTTTGCACACGAGCCAAACTCCCCAGGAAGGGTCGTAACACCACTCGCCTCACGCTCATAAGTGACCAAAACAAAGCAGTATGGAGACACTCCGTCTTCTACCACCTCTCAGGCAGCAGCCTGCACTCCCAAGTTCTACACATCACCAGAACATAACCAACCACAACACAATAAAAGCAGTGTTATACAAAATGGAAGGCCTGTAGTGTTTGTTCTCTTACAGTAAGAATTTATCAATTTTTTTGAGGAATTTATTTGAGATTTTCTGGTTTTTGTTAATTGTGCAATAGAAAAATAATCATTAGATTAATTTTCTAAATAGTCATTAGAATAGTCGACTATTTGATAAAATAATCGTCAGAATAATCGTTTTAAAAATAATCGTTTACCCCCAGCCCTAGTGTTTATATAGTTCAGAGACTTTAGAACAAGGATCAATTTGTCCTTCATTCTCCTCCACCTCTTCACGCGGTCGCCACCTCTAAACACACATTTCCCATCGTTTCCATCTGCGTTTGCTCCGTATTTTGTAGTCCTTCACTCACTGCTGCTAAATATCGGTTTACTGTTTAATGGAGCTACAGCTGTGCTGGTGACAGATATACAGGAAGCAGCATCCTGACCTATCACAAGCTTGTGGTCTCCATCACTTTTGACGGATGTTTAAAATTTTGGGCATGTCTCCGTCACCCTCTGCGAGCCTGTCGGAGAGCCCTTCCGCCGACGCATAATGGTGTTGCGTGTCTCCGCACCAGCGCAGACAGAGGAAGTATAAATCAGACTTTAGAGGAGGGGTATTCAATTCTGGTCCTGGAGGGCCGTTATCAGCACATTTTTGTTTTAACTATTACAACACACCTGGTTTCAATCAGCAGGTGGCTAAGAGGCTTCTGCATGTGCATGAGCCTGATGAACTGCTGCACAGGTAATTCAACCACTGAATACTAAGTTGGAGCAGAGGAACCACTAAAACGTGCTGAATACCGACCCTCCAGGCCTGGAATAGAATCGCTCTGGTTTAGAGTTGATCTTTTGTGTGGAGTAGATCCCCAGTGAGTCGCGGTGGATGGCTGCTTATACCGAGCCAGGATCCTCTGGAGGTTTCTTCCTGTTAAAAGGGAGTTTTCCTCTCCACTGTCGCTATATGCTTGCTTAGTATGAGGATTGTTGTAAAGTCACTGACACTAGTCAGTGACTAGGGATTGTATGAACTAGACGACTAGCCGACTTCACTGCTCTGTAGTGACTTTTTATGCCCGTCATCGATTAGTCGCTGTCACGTGATAATGACCGACAAGATGCAGTTCTCGGAAAAGACAGCAGGTGATGAGCCCCTGCGCGTCGGGAGGTGACGCGCTGTGCCAGAGCGTCAGTACTGACACCCGCCGTAAAACAGACATTTAACCAGATTGTGACCTTTTCCCTCTTGCAATTTAACCTTCCCCTCACCCCATCCTAATCTTAACCAGCTTGACGCGCTCCAGACATCTGCGTCCTGAGCACGGCCACAGTAACATTATCAAATCAGGTGTCGCCACCTCAAAAACAAATTTAACATGCGATTGTTCATGTCGTCTCATTTCCTTTTATGTTTTCTGTCTTTTATCTGTGCCTGATGCGTTTCGTTGCTGTGGAGCGGGGCGCATCACCTGTTTTGTCCTCCGGTGACGCACCTCACTGATGCGGGCGGTGCAGGGGGAGAGGGCTGAAGCAGAAACTATCGTTGTTAAAAGAAATGTGTTTAACTTTGAAAATGTGGGTGCAATTTTAATTGTCAAAAACTCCAGCGAACCAACCGTAGAGCGGGTTGTCCAGTAATCAGAAGGTTGTAGGTTCAATCGCAGCTCCTACCAGAGAATGCTGCTGTTGTGTCCTTGGGCAAGACACTTAACCCACCTAGCCTGCTGGTGGTGGTCAGAGGGACCAGCGACGCCTGTGTACAGCGGTCTCGCTTCGGTCAGTGCGCCCCAGGGCAGCTGTGGCTAAATCGTAGCTCATCATTACCATAGTGTGTGTGTGTGTGTGTGTGTGTGTGTGTGTGTGTGTGTGTGTGTGTGTGTGTGTGTGTGTGTGTGTGTGTGTGTGTGTGTGTGTGTGTGTGTGTGTGTGTGTGTGTGTGTGTGTGTGTGTGTGTGTGTGTGTTAAATCAATATGACGTTGTGAGGAATTCTGATTGAATTAATTATTCCACTTTAGCTCATGACTGGATCAATCTGCCGGTGAGTCTGAGAGGTGGCTGAGCTCAATACAAGTCTGAAGAGGAGGAGGGACCATCAGGACTCACCGTAGCAGCACCGTTGACCTGCACCGATTTGCTTGCAGTGGACAGTGTGCCGGGAACTCGCTGCACTGATGGCTGTGCCTCCTTCGGTTTGACCTCTGTCGGCTTCACCTCCCTGAAAATAACACACAAAGGTATCAAACTGAGGGAGGAGGATTTGTTCTCCTTTCAAAGTTACAACAAACTTTTACAGATTTCTCCAAAAATGGCCACCACTGGTGCTGTTCTTACATGAAGACTGTGGTGGTGGAGCTGAGTGGTGTGCCAGGAGACGGGGTCAGTGTCGGGGCCGATGTCGGGATTGTAGTAGGTGGTTGGAAGCTTGGGGTCACTGAAGAGGTGGAGGTCTGGAGAGGCTCTCTGGGAGCTGCTGGGGAGAGAGCTCCACTGCTGCTGGAATCAGCGCTGACATTCTGGCACAGAAACAAACAGGAACCAGTTCATTTCCAGATTATAATCCTTGCAGGGATTAGAGATGCAGTAGCAGTATCTTTGGTGTTAGAAGAGACACAAACGAAACTAAACTTGTGTTCGTTAACCTCAAACCAGTGACACCTGGGTGGGCCGGACATTTAGCTCCACAACAGCCACACAAATGTTTAAATAATGTCCAGGAAAGAAGACAATACACCAGAGTTTTTACCCGTTCCTTGGTGGGTCTGACCACCTCTTTGCCACATAATCGGTTATCAAACACGTCTGCGGTCTTGAGGTGACCTGCTGCACCGGGAAGCGGCGGGAAGCTGGAGAGACCAAGCTCAAAGTTCGGCGACGGAGGTTTGGGAGGAGGTGGCGGTGACTGAGGCATCGCTCTCTGCAACAGCAAATGCAAATTAAAAAAAACAACAACAACATATAAACTCAGAAAAGGAAGTGAAACATAAAAGATGTCTGAAATCTGATGACTCATCTTTGATATATGAATATGAACTAAATTATTTTATTTCTACATGCTTGTATCTGAAAGAGGACAAAAGCATTACTTACTGTAAACTTTTCATCTCTCTTTTTCCTAGAAGCAGAAACATTTTTCCTTTAAGACAGAGAACATCTTAATTTACAAACATCCCTGCATCTTAAACAGAGACGTAACTTTAAAGACCAAGTTCACTCATTTCTCTAACACATCTGCAGTGATCTCCAGTATAATTAAATGCCTGGTTAGTTGATCCCTGTGGGGACAAAACTCTGGTGCTCCTGTTTCAGGAACCAGAAGTGAGTCATACCATAACATTTTATGTGTTAAGCTCTTTCAACACAGCCATGACGCTAACCAAAGCGCAGCACAATAAAAACAACCAGTCAGAGCAGAGGGAAACAACAGGATATGGAGTCTTTATTCCTGATTTTTTTTCCCCTCTGATTGGCTAACAGCAATGTGACTCCACCACTGACTCCGTTTGCTCTGTAACACCGATGAAGGAGTTCTGCCGTGTGGTGGGGATGCAAATGCTAACGGTTAGCTTCTACTAGCTGAGGTGTTCTCTGCCGTTTCCTGGACGTTAAACCAACAGCAGCCTTCCCCGTTGTGAGCCAAGATGGGTGAGTCCATGAAGGTTAAGTGACAGTGTGACGTAGATCTGTCAGGATTTTCTATTCCTAGAGTTTCACCGTCTGTTGTTTTTTGTGGCTGATGGAGATGGGGATAGAAGACTGTTTTAGCATTTAGCCTGCATGTTCAACTCAGTGACTGATCATATTTCAAAAAGAACCATTAAAGAGCAAGTCATCCCTACCAGATTCTTACTCTACTCCCACTTCCAGCTTGAAAAATGCAACAAATGCTGTTGCAGGGGTGGACATTAACTTCAAAACCAACCGGCCAGCCGGGCCGGTAACTCTGAATATTTACCGGCCCTGCCAAGAATCTACCGGCCCCGCTGGTCAGCTGCCAAAATGAGTCAAAATAACAACAGAACCGTTTTAAATGTAATAAACCTTTATTTTGTACACATTCACAAACATAATAACGTATTCAAGTTTGAATTTGTTTGTTCCCTCAACAAAACTCGATTTTGTCGTCACATACTTCCGGCATACAACGCAGTGCATCACCAACGCCGCTTTGCTGTACTCGAGCCATTGGCTGTGTTCGAGATGAGCCAGTTCTGCGCAGATTAGACCAGCGGTGATTGGCGAGCAGTGCATGCCGGTTAGATCTGTGTCCAACTTGACGCCGACTTGCTCTGACGTCATGCATACGTAGGCAACGATAACCTCGTGAGATCAAGGCGGCCGCAGATTTTGGAGCAAGGCGATGCAGTTGCTCTTCCTCGGCTGCAAAACCTAGAGGATGACGGGAAACGCCTGGCTCTCACCTGATCTAAGATCTGATTGGTTCATATTTTGATCCAAACATCCGGTGGTAGAACATGAAATGTTAGTTGGTCACATGTATTCTGTAAATCACGTTATGTTGATGATGACTATATAGGCCATAAAGAGAAATGTGTTTTGTTTTCTTTTGTCACGTTTCCTATGAGCACACTGAACCTACAGCTGGTATCCTTTACTTATTATTACAGTCATGTCTTCATATACAATATATGATATCCACAAGCACGTGAGGATGTGTTTCAGCTGCTAACAGGCACCAGAATTCAAATTGAAAATTGAACAAGTGTGAATGCTAACGCGATATCTTCATCCATCGTCACCCCGAGCTACACACGTAGGGAAATCTGTCCGACTTATTAAACGCCGGCTTTCAGCCACTCCCCCTGCTGCTTCCATCTGCTCTCATCTGTTTTCCAGGCGAGGCTCTGCTCAACTCGAACACGGCAATTCTCTGCGCCTCCCGTCTTCTTTAAACCGCCAAGAATCGTTCCACCTACGCACACGCTTCTCTGCTTCATACCGTTACGAACTGTCTCGCTTCTCATCACCAGTTTTAAAGCGTTTTGCCGGAGATTTCATCAAGAAATCCCATCCCTGTGGTGGCGCCATCTTCCTGCGTGCTTGTGTGTTTCTAGCGTGGTTCCACTTCATCTTTAATAGTGAACTTATAGTTCACGTGACTGTAACTAGAATCGTGCAGTATGTGCATGAATCGTACAAGTGCAGTACGTGCAGTCCGGGGCTAGAGGCGCGCAGGTTCACGCGTGCGAAACGAAAACGGCGGCTTCCTACAGGGCGTGGCCATGATGTAGGTGAAAGCCGGTGTGTAAATGACAAACAAGGCTTGGGCGCCACCCGGGCGGTAAGTCGTCAAGTATTTACCGCCCGACGACAAAATTTAACGCCATTAGCGCTCGGGCGCTTTAAAGGTCCACCCCTGCTGTTGCCTAGCAGACCGAGAGGGCGGAGCTGCTAACAAATACACACACTCAAAACATTGTGACATCACAATATACCATCTAACATCATAGTGTACCTCTTAGCCAATAGCGATGGCAGATTTAAATTCAAATGCAGTGCTGAGTTTTTACCCGACGACGGTGCATCGCTGACAGTTTTAAGCAGAATAATTAAATTTTAACTAAGATGCACTAAAGCGCCGAATTGTTGACTACATTTGTCTACAGCACAATCAGACACTCATTTATATAGTTTATCAGCAAGAAAATGTTGATTTGGAGTGACTTGCTCTTTAAACAATGTTTTCTCAGTGAACTTAGCCTTTAAACCTTAAGTGGCACATAGATAAATAAAAATAACAAACATTAAAACAATAAACTTATTGGAAAGTGGAAGAAATTCAAATATAAATTAAACTTAATTTAAGTATTTATGTTTACGTCCTTTAAGTTTGTCGTACCTTCCCCGCCCAACTCCCAGGGAATAGTCTGGAGATGAGGGATCGGCTACACGCCCGGTGCCCACCGCATCTCTGCGAGGGAACACCGTGGTGGAGGGTGGTCTGGTTCTCAGCTGACTGCCGGGGAGTCGCGTTTGTGGGCTCCGGACCCCGTTGAGCCTCTCACTGGGGAAGGTGGTGAAAAGGTTCGGGCTCTCCAGGAGTCCGGCGCTGCGGTCCGTTGTGGGAATGGTCGGTCTCAGGTGAGGTTTACTGTGATTCCTGGAGGGCATGAACATTTTTACAATGATAGGAAGAACTAACAGTTGTTTAAGAAGTTTTTCCCAAACAGAACACATACCTGTTTCTGGGGGAGAAGTGTCTGATGGTGAGCGGCGATGTCGTGGGTTTGAAACTGTGAGATGTCGCAAATCCGTTGATGAACTGGTTGTTGTGAAATGGAGCAACCTGGAAAACAAATCCATTATTCAGCATCAACAAGAAGTGAACTGGATGCTTCAACATTACACCGATGAGAATCAGTAAAAGAAAAGAACCTTGTGTTTTTGCATGTTTGACTGTTACGATAATTAAATATAAACATTTAAAATAATTACCAGCGCCGGGTCGATGAAGCTGTGTGTGGTGGACCAGGCCTGCGGCGTGATCAGGCTGTACAAAGGGAACTGCTGCTGGGGGCTGTAAACCGGAGGGATGTAGTAGGAGGTGAAGCGCTGTGGCGTGTACGGGTTCACCTCCACCGGCCGATAACCGTTCTTTGGTATGAAAGTGTTGATAGCGATTGCTTTTGCCTTTATCCTGGCCTGAAGCAGGAGAGGAGGCAGGAGAACTTAGATCTACAAACATCAAAAACTAAATCTGACATGCAGAAATATCAGGTTGATGGCACTAAATATTAAAACAATTTTACATTTTTACAACAATTGTGAGTTCATATGCATATATGTTTTCTTCCTCCAGACTTTTTCTCCCTGGAAAATAAAACATCTGAGCTTCAGATTTCTAATAAAATACCTTAATAGGCTTCCCCTGGAACATCTTCACTTCCTCCCGGAGATACTGATACGCCTTCAGAAACAGACGAGACACACACCGTAGATTAAAATCAAACTGTGATGCTTTGATATGGACGATTCTCAGCATTTTCCATAACAAAAGAACCACACAGGCTTTACCTGCTGGGCATCGGCTTCTGACTCAAAGGTGATGAACCAGTTGTCGTTGTAGGCAAATTCACAGTTTATAAACTTGGGTAAATTTTCCCCTTTGAAAAGAGCCTCTACTTCCTGCAAAAGCAAACCCAAAATAGGAAAGAAATGGATATTAGAAAGCAGTCTTTCCTTCAATAAATCTGTTACTAACACCAAAAATGTATTATAAATATATCCTATTTTTGCTGTTTTATTTGAAAAGAAGGTAATAAAACTTTAATCAGAGGTTTAAACTGCAACAATCATCTAAACTTCAATGACCCAAGAACAGTCAATGGATCCAATAAGCAAACTCATAAGAGTTATTGATCTGTTCCTGTAAACTAGCAGGAAATCGGTAAACAAAAAATTAAATCTTTTTTACCCGACATGTGGCCGGTGTTGGTGAGGTCACTTCCTTTTATCTGCGGAAAGCAGAGGACGGTGTGGCCCTCTACTGCCCGCATCCTCCTTGCTGATGACACTGTCCCATGCGTGACCCAATGGGAATACGCCACCATCTCTGTTCATAGTTTTGTGTCCGCGTCTCCTTATTTCTATCGCTTCCTTGATCCATCTTTTGTAGGACAGTGTCATCAGCCAGGAGGACAGAGGGAAGTAGAGGGCCACACCGTCCTCTGCTGCCCACAGATAAAAGGAAGTGACGCCACCAACACTGGCCATCTCTGACGATGGCTAGAGATACTAGCTGAAACATGTCAGGTTACTTTATTTTTTTACCAAACTGTGTAAAAAAAAAAAAGAACAAGAAAATGGATCACGATGACACGCAACAAACACACAAAAGAGAAAAAAATTAGGGGGGCACCGATCTATCGGCCCCGATCTCGGGTTTTTATCAAGATCTGTGATCGGCCAAAAACTGCAATCGGTGCACCCCTAGTTCATGTTAAAGCAAACCATTGCTATAGAATTATTTGGGACAGGTGTGTCAAAACAGCCCAAGGGCCCCCCTCTTTGTGGCCCCCAGCCCGAGGGCCCCCCTTTTGTGCTCCCAGCCCGAGGGCCCCCTCTTTGTGCCCCCAACATACCTGACTGACTTGTTACAGCTGTACGTACCAATGAGCGCACTGATGGTGCTTTGCATACCCTCAATGAATTATAAAATGAGGGGGGAGTGTGTTTTTGTACATGTGGTGCCTGTTTTGTGGAAGGCCTTACCTCTCACGATCCGCCAGTCAACACCTATTGCGGCTTCAAGTCACGATTGAAAACACACTTTTATGATCTGGCTTTTACATCATGAATTGTTTATTAATGTATTGCGTTTAGTTGTTATTATTCATTTTAATTGGGTTTTATTCATGTTTTAGAATAGTCATTTTGGCGGTTTTAGCGGTTTTATCCTTAGCTGTGTTTATGATACGATGCATGTTTCAGTACTTCTTTTTGTACTGTATGTAAGGCGCTATGGTCTGCTCTCATGCCGTATTGAAATGCACTTGAAAATAAAGTGGTACAGTAAAATCATTATCGGAAAATAAATCGGCATTGGCAAGTCGTTTTTCTCAAGTTCGGTGATTGGCCAAAAACTGCAATCGGTGCACCCCTAGAAAAACTATACTGTTATTTATAAAGTACATTTTTTGCGTCTGTTAAAAATGTATCTGAAACTTGTGTGTTTGGAAAATGTAAATAAATCTCTAAACATAATAATATGCAGCAATTCTTACATTTTAAAGTAAATTTCTCTGAACACAAAAGAGGTCTGATGTCACTGTAAATTTACTTAAACATATTCAAAAGGCTCCGTCATGCTCTGTTAAGACAATACAAATATTATGTAAATGTTTTAAAACAGCTGCCTGTTTTGGTCTAAGTAAAATGTCCAAAAGTATCCTCTAAAACTGCGTAATAGCGGAGTTTTTGTACTTCTGCTTAAGTCCTTAAAGCTAAATTAAGCCCATAAGAAAAAAAAACATAATTGTTTAATGGACTCTGTAAAGTACCGTGGAGCATGAAACCAAAATTACAAAGGTTTTTAGGTGTGGAGCAAAACCACAGATCGTGATAAGATCTAGACAAAAGTTTCCCAACATTCCCATTTCCATGATGCAGCTGGAACCAGGTGCACTGACCTCTAAGGGTGTGCTCTGTGGAACCTCTCTGAGGATCACGATGCATCGGTTCTGATTGGGTCGAACCTTCTCGCCCTTCTCATCCACCTGGACCAATGGCAGAGCTGGAGGGAGACACGATGCAATTAAAAAATTAAGAGGTTTAGATATGTGCTCAGCCAGGGGCGATTCTAGCATCAGAGGTTTAGGGACGCTGAGCACCCAGAGATCTGCCCAGTCAGACAAGATACATTTCAACATTTTAACACAATTTCTTTCTCACATTTATGAAAAAACAAAAACACTGTTTTCACTAATAAAATCACAGTTTAACATCACAATCTACATGGTTAACAGATTCTGCTGCCAACACTGTATCAGAATCTGGTCCAGGTTTAGAGTCTAGATCAGTGGTTCCCAATCTTCTATCCTTGAGGATCCTGTAAGGTAACCTCACAATCTCAGCACAACATGTTCTAGTAGAAGAAGAAGGGGAAGAAGAAATTATCTTTTGTAAATCACTTCTCAAGATAAAAACCACGAGGCACTTGTATGTGCTGACCCCCTTGGTGGATCACAGACCCCAGGTTGGGAACCACTGGTCCAGGTTGTAGTTTTAAAATATGAGCAGATTAAAGATGCTCAATGAGTGGAAACAGTGGTTGGAGATGCCCTTTAATATTTAGAAACCTGAAATTGAAGCCTATTTTTAACTTTGTCTGAATTTTCCACAATAGAATAACACTAAAAGTACCAGTAATATTTTTTGATCAGTGTATTCTTATTTTCACTCAATTTTCCACTAATATCAACTTCCCATACAAAAATAAAAACTTTTTAGATATTTTTTTTAAAACAGTTTCAACAGTAACGAGTGTAATAAATCCTGTTTATACCCAACATTGTTGTCGTTTATTTGACTTTATAGTAGCAGGCTTTTATTTTATAATATTTACAACATCTGAACCTAAATCCCATCATGACTCACTTTTATGAATGGAGTTTAATAAACTAAAGTTAAAGCTCTAGCTATGATCGTCCACATTAGCAGACATTCAGACATGGAACCGACAAGCTTTGGCTGATGATAAATAAAAGTAAAAGCTACAGTAGAATTTTTGACATGACTTAAAGAGCAGTCACTCCCAAATAAACTTTTTTTCTGATAAACTGTATAAATGCGTGTCTAATCGTGCTGCAGACAAACAAGTAGTTAATAGTTTTGCGCTTTACTGCATTTTAGTTAAAATTTTCATTTTCTGCCTAAAACTGTCAGTGTTGCGCCGTTGTCGGGTAAGAACTCTGCACTGCATTTGAATTTAAATCTGCCATCACTATTGGCTAAGAGGTACCCTAAAACGTTAACTGGTACCATATGATGTCACAATGTCATTGTGAGCCTGTGTGTGTGTGTGTATTTGTTAGCGGCTCCGCCCTCTTGGTCTGCTAGGCAACAGCATTTGTTGCATTTTTCAAATAGGAAGTGGGAGTTGAGTAATATGATAAATGACCCACACTTGTATAGCGCCTCTCAGAGTAAGGACTCCAAAGCGCTTTACACTACAGTGTATCATTCATCCAGTCACACACACACATTCACACACTGATGGTGATGAGCTACGATGTAGCCACAGCTGCCCTGGGGCGCACTGACAGAGGTGAGGCTGCCAAGCACTGGCGCCACCGGTCCCTCCGACCACCACCAGCAGGCAAGGTGGATTAAGTGTCTTGCCTAAGGACACAACAGCAGAATTCTCTAGCCGGAGCCGGGATCAAACCTGCAACCTTCCGATTACTGGACAACCCGTTGAGCTACTGCTGCCCATAATACTCTGGTAGGGGATGACTTGCTCTTTAGGTAGATGTGGAGGAAAATGTGAAAAACTCAAATAAAAACTAATTTTTACTGTCAGATGTCATATGCGCCAGGATCCTCTGGAGGTTTCTACCTGTTAAAAGGGAGTTTTCCTCTCCACTATCGCTGCATGCTTGCTTAGTATGAGGATTGCTGTAAAGACTCTTGACACTAGTCAGTGACTCGATGCAACCTGCTGGGTTCCTTATTTAGGAAACTTTTTACTGATTGGCTTAATGACCTGACCTGTATTGGAATGTTTACTATGTGAAGTGCCTTGAGACGACTCGTCGTGATTTGGTGCTATATAAGTAAACTTGAATAGAATTGTGTATCATAATCAGGATAATTATGTCTGAATTAAACAAACATAATAAAGTAGATCACATCTGCACTGTTCCTTTCATTTCATTTAAAAAAAAGCTGCAATAAAAAATAAACACCTGCAACTAATTTATGAAGTTGACTGACAGTGACATGGTGTTTATGTACGTGCACACAGGCCGTGCACACATCACGAGCCAACAAACAAAAACCAAGGCATCGAGCCAGAAAGATTTAATTCAGGTAATAAATCAATTGTGTAAAAATCAAACAGCATTAGGTAAGATTGCTGCTCACACTTCAACGTCTCCAGGGAAATCAGCCTCCTCCACTTGCTGAGTCTGATGTGACTGGTCTACTCACAACGCATTTTCATTTACTCACATCGTAAAATGTCCACGATCAGATCCACGTCAGTGCTGAGCTTTTTGACGTGATCCAGGTTGGCCACCGTGACGATTGGCACATACTGGTCACTGTCCATCTGGGAGATGAGGTACATGTCACTGGCCAGGTTCTCCCTGAGGAACAACAGGAACAAGACACGGTGAGGAATAATCAGAGACAGCACAGGCACGTCCTCGCCCAGTCCAATCCTCGCCACGGAGACGTTCCACACTTCATCAGAACCTTTGCACATTTTCACAGACACCAACGATTTAATGTTCTACCTGCAGAAGGACATTAAAAAACTTCTACAAAGTTATTTTCCATTATAGTTTTATTTCTCAAAACTACAAGGCTCACTGATCCATCCTCAGAACGAACATAAAACATTAGCTAAATACCTGCTGGTGGTTATTAAAGTTCAAGGCTAAGTTGGTACAGTGTGATATATTTATTTATAATAAACACACGCGTTTACAGCAGAGGGATTAAGGATTTTTATATGTTATACCTATTATCGTCTCAGTCAAGCTAAACAGAAATCTTGCTGTGTTTAGTGACATAAATGTTTTCATTTTTCGTGTTTTAATACCAGGAACCCTGTGTGGGTAACACGTGTGTGCTTTTAACCATTGCCCTTTACCAACCTCACCTACCTGCTGTACACCTGACTGCTTCCCTTAGAAACTCTAAATGTCTCCACAAAGGAAAGTAAGTAAATTGTATTTAAATAGTACTCATCACAAAGTGCTCCACATAGATCAAAACAAAATAAAACAAACAGCAAAGGTTTCTGATCCATTAACAAAGAACCTCTGGTTTCTTTAAAATTCTTTGTTTTTTTAGGCTGTCTGTGTGCATTTAGACAAAACTAATGCATATTTGAGATTATCTGATTTCATGTTAATGACTTTTTCAAATACTCAAAAAAGCTTAAATAAAAACTCTTAATTTCCACACAAGTTTCAAAAACTAAAGAGTTAAAAAGTGTTGCATGGGTAAAAGGCTGAATTTGTACTAAAAGAACCGACCCAGGAACCGTTGTGTATCGAGCGGTGAGCAGATGTATTTGACGGATTTGCGTGTGGCCATCCAGCCATCGGGTTTCCAGAGCTGCAGGCAGATGCCGTTCCTGGAGGACACCAACAGCTGATAACAGACCAGCGTGGACCCTCAAGGTTTAATGAAACTAAATTATAATAAAGTGCAGCAGAAAAGCAGCTATTCTGCTGTTTCAGGACAGGATTTCACACAAACCCTCTCGTCGACAGCTCGGAGGCTCTGTAATGGTCACGCTGAGGAGACGTTTTCTTGTTGTGGTTGGCTATATATATGCTTCTCTCCATTAACTCATTCACTGCCAATGACGACAAAAGTCGTCATTTGCCATTTTTTTTACTGTTTGGGCATCGGAACGAGCCCCCGCACCGAGAGAACAAACATCTCAGCTCTAAAGCCGATCTTCATACGCATATGTCACACGTCACGTGATCAGGAAGCAGAAAATCCGTGTGTTAGTAGATCGTTTTGGGCCGCTCCAGTAAAAAAACGTGAGGCGCGAACCAGAAAAGCTTCTGCCGATCACATTTCAACAACGGATTATGAAAGAATGGATAAAGCTGGAAACACGTGGATTCTTCCTCATGTAAGAGGTGAGTCTCCTCTTTGTTTTGGCGTCGACATCATCCTAGCGCGCAATGTTCTGTGACTCTTAAAAAAACAGTAAAATCAGTGAGAAATGCCGGCAGCGAAGGGCTTTAGCGAATGCGTAGAGTAAAACCTTGAGAGTAGAGTGGAAAATCCTTCAACCACGTTTCCTCTGCAGGTTTCTGATAATAGTCCGAGGTTTAGAGGTAAACTTATTTTAGTGACTACTTATGAAACTTATGGAAACATAAACGTGTTAGTATTTAGATCTGACATCACAGCAAACAACCTCTCACATCAAGAGTCTTTCCCACTTTGCTGACTGGTTTAAAGCACAAACTTTAGCTGGAATCAGTAAAAATTAAGCTCACCTGGACAAACAGAACTCCAGGGTCTTCTTCAGATGCTCCCTTAGGCCCTCCTGGGTGTTGTCAGGCTGGGAATCACTTCCTGTTGGGTAAGAATTAGGAAAATAAAGCCTCAAGATCTGAATAACACTAAAAAAGAACATCGAGCTGAACAAAATATTAGATGGATGGAAATAAAAAGTGATAGAGAAAAGCCAATGTTTAACACTAGTGGAGAGATGGTAAAAAATATGGTTTTATTCTTGTATAAAAATTTGTTAAATATAAATTCCCTCTGTGGTCCCATTAAAACATCTATAACCAAGCACCAATGTGAAAATCTGTTACTTTAAAAGATTTAAATAATTCTCCCATTCAGTGCTTGTTCCGTTTATTATTCTACCGTCTCCACCCCTGATTTAGGCAACCAGAGCAGACATTTAGCAAGGCTGAACCTCCACCATAACTGCTGTGTTGAATGCTTCGCTCCTCTTGCTGGGTTGTCAACATTTCTGTCAAACGGAGAGCTCTAAAGCCTGCCGCACAATCTGCTGAGCAAACGGCCTCGAATGACCGTTTGCTCAGCAGATTGCTCGCCACGTGTGCCTGATTTTCACTGAATTTTCCGCCTCACGCTGAAGCCAAATATCTGACCAGTCAGATATTTTCCGCCTCACGGGGGGTAGAAATTTGCCGTGTGCACACTACGTGAGCTGCCGGCTGAGCTGAACTATTCTAGTGGCCAATCAAAACGCGTTCTCTGATCACATGATTCCAAGATGGCAGGTCCCTGTCTACATGTCAGAAAATAAACAAAACGGACACGGAGCTGGAAACGGAAGGAATACCTATACTTTTTGTGTTGATGAAGCGCCGCCGCCACCAGCATTTGAAGGTTAGGAAAGTATGTGTACAGTGGCTGGAAAGAAGGGCGAGATGAAGAGTTTATGCCAATCTACTCCAAGAGATACACCTGGAAGACCCAGAATCCTTCCGACAGTACCACCGCCTGGATCCTTCGAGAGGGTAATGGAAACAGTGGGCCCATCGATCCGCAAGGTAGTTTTGCTTATTTTTCAGACATGCAGACAGGGCAGGGGGCTGCATCTGAATACATCTTGGGGTCATGTGAGCGGAGATTGGCCACTAGAATATTTCAGCTCAGTCAGCAGCTCAGTAGTGGGCAAACGGTGAGTTTCTACCCCCGTGAGGCGGAAAATATCTGACTGGTCAGATATTCGGCTCAGCGTCTCGTGAGGCGGAAAATTCAATGAAAATCAGGTGCACACGGCGAGCAATCTGCTGAGCAAATGGTCATTCGAGGCCGTTTGCTCAGCAGATTGCTCTAGTGCGCGGCAGGCTTAAGAGATAAAAGTCTGGTAACAATACAGTCTGAAACGGGCCAATCAGATTTAATGTTGCAAGATAAAATGACAAATAGCTCTTAAGCACTCACCTTTGTCCTGAGCACAAATTAAAGAATGGAGAACGAGCACTTCTCCTCACATGAACCAATCTCATTTCCATCACTTGTAAAGTAAAACTGGGATGCTAGCATGGCTAGACAGTTGGTTCAAGGCCAATTACATGTACATGATTTATCTGTTTAATCAGAACCAGCTGCCTCGGCTATGACCACAAACACACAATCACTGCTTTTATTTTCTACTCTGGAACCATCAGAAACAACCTTCATCATGTCCATCACTGCAGACTAGTCACACACACACACACACAACCTCCCAACACAACCAGCCCACCTGTGCACCCGGGCTCGGGGTATTCTGTGTAGGCGGGATCGGAGCACTCCAGTGTGACGGAGGCAACGGAGGCCGGCTCGGCCAGCATTACTGGTTCTGGTGGAGGCTCATCTGGGTCAGTTAGCAGAGTCTCCTTGTAAGCTTTGTCCTCACTGGCTTCAAAGCCTGTGGCAATAGACAAGGGATCAGAATCATTAATGAAGGTGACATGATGTCAAAAGCCACTTACACTCAGATCAATAAATCTACATCAAATTCAGAAGTTATGGTGCTGTGTTGTTCTTCAATAAAACTAAATCCTGTGTGCAAAAAACTTTCAGCTATTCACACCATTAAAGTTAATATATGCAATAATGGAATGGGATGGGTCGCAAGCTCCATCTCGCAGCGCTCCATCTCGCAGCGCTCCTCCATGAGAACGGGGGAGGGGGGTTGCTCCTCTGTGAGAGCGGGGGTGGGGGGTTTGCACACATTCCGCTGCTGTTTCTCACCAATATCAGCTGATGGAGGGCTCTAGTTTCGTTGCGCCATTCATGGCAGTGGACACGGTAGGGTCGGGGAGGGGGGCGGGGCGGGGCATAACGCTTAGCCTGGCGGGTGGGCAAGCAAAGCCTGGTGGGCCACCAGGCTTATAAACGTTGGGGGAAACACTGAAATGCTGTTGCCTAGCAGACCGAGAGGGCGGAGCCTCTAACAAATACACACACACAAATACAAACACACACCGACATTGTGACATCATATGGTACCAGCTAACGTTCTAGGGTACCTCTTAGCCAATAGTGATGGCAGATTTAAATTCGACTGAAGTGCAGAGTTGTTACCTGTTGGAGTTGTACGACACTGAGTTTTAGGCAGAAAATTAAATTTTTAACTAAAATGCACTAAAGTACAAAACTACTGACTACACGTGTCTGCAGCACGATTAGACACGCATTTATATACAGTGGTGTGAAAAACTATTTGCCCCCTTCCTGATTTCTTATTCTTTTGCATGTTTGTCACACAAAATGTTTCTGATCACCAAACACATTTAACCATTAGTCAAAGATAACACAAGTAAACACAAAATGCAGTTTTGAAATGATGGTTTTTATTATTTAGGGAAAGAACAAAATCCAAACCTACATTGCCCTGTGTGAAAAAGTAATTGCCCCCCTTATTAAAAAATAATCCAACTGTGGTGTTTCACACCTGAGTTCAATTTCTGTAGCCACCCCCAAGCCTGATTACTGCCACACCTGTTTCAATCAAGAAGTCACTTAAATATGAGCTGCCTGACACAGAGAAGTAGACCAAAAGCACCTCAAAAGCTAGATCATGCCAAGATCCAAAGAAATTCAAGAACAAATGAGAACAAAAGTAAATGAGATCTATCAGCCTGGTAAAGGCAAGCCCCCACAATGCGGCTCAGAAATAGGTCTCAACCCGGAAGTACAAAAAATTGCAGTTCCACCCTCATCCGCTGGGGGCTGGTGTCAGAAGTGAGCAAATCCTCATCGACTCCCATGTTAAAAATACCAATTTCACAGCAGAAATAAACATGTTTACAGCCTGGTACCAAAACACGTTTTTGGTTTAAATGATCTAGTTTACACTCATGACAACTCTGAGGGGGGTGAATTTTTTTCTCACTCTTCTGTTTAAGTGTATTAAAAGCCTAAAACTCTGTATAATTAATGAGCATCAGACCCATGTGACCACAGAGCTAGCTACGTGGAAAGGCCTCGGTAGAGCCTCGGTCTGGCCTGGAAACTGTTCCGGGATTTTGAGTCTCTGTGTGTGTGTATTCTGTTTTGGATATTTTTTGTGCAATTGTTGGACAAAATGACTTGCTGTGGCATTAATTGCACTAATAGAGCGTCCAAGGAGTCTCCACTTCATTTTTTTCGGTAAGTAAAATTATATTTATGTATTTTAGGTCACTGCCGAGATGAGCTTAGATTTTAACATGTACTGTTTAACCATGAAATTTAAATGTAATAGGGTAAAACCCAGTGCATTTAACATAATGCTGCACCTTAGAAAATGGGTTGAAATATAATATGTTGGTGGAGCTGGGTTCCGACTATCGGCTTGTGGAGCTCTCGGGAGACCGATGTTTTCCACCCGTTCTCCCCTACCCGCAGCTCGGCGCATCTCTGTCTGATCGCGGCTTGTTTGCTGCGCGGGCTGACGGCTGGTTCTCCCAGCAGCTTGGCGCATCTCTGTCTGATCGCGGCTTCTGTCTGCTGTGCGGGCTGACGGCTTGTGGAGCTCTGGGATGGAAACCTTTCCACCTGGTTCTCCCCAGCGGCAGCTCTGCGCATCTCAGATCGCAGCGGCGCTCGTCTGCTGTGCGGCTGCCGGCTTGTGGAGGTCTCGGAGACCTCCATGTTCCACCCGGTTTTACCCAGCAGTCAGCCCAGCGTATCTCTGACTCAGAAGATCTGGTGTTGTGCACAGTTAACTCCGGTTGTAGCTAGGTTGCTACCTCCGTTAGCTTAGCTCCCACCTCCGCATTAGCTTTGGGTTAGCTTCAGGTTAGCTTGTAGCTAGTTCGACCGGCTGTCGTCAGTTGATCCCAGCCTTACAGCCCCACCCTCAGCTCCTCCTCTCTTCCCTTTTATGGAATTGTCTGGACTTGACGGAACCTGTGACACGGTCAAAATGGCGGTGGTGGCCACCTCCCATTTTAGTACAAAAACTTATTATTTGAGTCTATGGAAACCCATTGTCCATATATGTATGTCGATGGGTAAAGGTTATAAAGCCATTTCTAAAGCTTTGGGACTCCAGCGAACCACAGTGAGAGCCATTATCCACAAATGGCAACAACATGGAACAGTGGTGAACCTTCCCAGGAGCGGGCGGCCGACCAAAATTACCGCAAGAGCGCAGAGACAACTCATCCGAGAGGTCACAAAAGACCCCAGGACAACTTCTAAAGAACTGCAGGCCTCACTTGCCTCAATTAAGGTCAGTGTTCACGAATCCACCATAAGAAAGAGATGATTGCCAAGACTTTTGGGAAAATACCTTGTGGACTGATGAGACAAAAGTTGAACTTTTTGGAAGGCAAATGTCCCGTTACATCTGGCGTAGAAGTAACACAGCATTTCAGACAAAGAACATCATACCAACAGTAAAATATGGTGGTGGTAGTGTGATGGTCTGGGGTTGTTTTGCTGCTTCAGGAACTGGAAGGCTTGCTGTGATAAATGGAACCATGAATTCTACTGTCTACCAAAACATCCTGAAGGAGAATGTCCAGCCATCTGTTCGTCAACTAAAGCTGAAGCGATCTTGGGTGCTGCAGCAGGACAATGACCCAAAACACACCAGCAAATCCAACTTTGAATGGCTGAAGAACAACAAAATGAAGACTTTGGAGTGGCCTAGTCAAAGTCCTGACCTGAATCCTATTGAGATGCTATGGCATGACCTTAAAAAGGCGGTTCATGCTAGAAAACCCTGAAATAAAGCTGAATTACAACAATTCTGCAAAGATGAGTGGGCCAGAATTCCTCCAGAGCTCTGTAAAAGACTCGTAGCAAGTTATCGCAAACGCTTGATTGCAGTTATTGCTGCTAAGGGAGGTCCAACCAGTTATTAGGTTCAGGGGGCAATTACTTTTTCACACAGGGCAATGTAGGTTTGGATTTTGTTCTCTCCCTAAATAATAAAAACCATCATTTCAAAACTGCATTTTGGGTTTACTTGTGTTATCTTTGACTAATGGTTAAATGTGTTTGATGATCAGAAACATTTTGTGTGACAAACATGCAAAAGAATAAGAAATCAGGAAGGGGGCCAATAGTTTTTCACACCACTGTAGTTTATCAGAAAAAAATGTTGATTTGGGGGTGACTTGCTCTTTAAAGTAGTCACTGAAGACAAACTATTTAGCCCATAACTTATAGTCCGAGTTTGTCTGCCTGCAGGTTTTTCTTTTTTAGAATAAGAAAAGCATTGAGGGCAGCGACAACGACGTGTTTTACCCTGAAGACAAACTCATAATAAGCCTGATCCATCACAGACATGATATTAATGACCCAACAACACCGGGTCGGTCTTCTCAAATAAATTTTACATGAATGTCCTCCTGAAGGCAGGAGATGAAATAGGTCAAGATGTCAGAGTCCAGCCCTGCTAATCGATAGCTTTTGTTTCCTCAGCAGATCCTGGCTGCTCTCGTCTGCACACATTAAAGTGAACGATTACGGTCGTTTGTGTCCGGGGAACAGCTACGCTGATCAGAATATTCATGCATCATATTAAATTAAGCATGAATGTTTAAAGAGGCCCTTTTCACATGACAAATGCGACTAGAGTGAAGTCAGAATAATAAATAACAGCTGGCGGTCTTAATGTTTCACCTGAATCCTCAGGTTTTTATCAGACGCCTGCTATTGTCGTTGTTTTAAAATGAAGATGTGTCTGTAGAGGACATCTCCCAGTGACACGTGCTTTAATGTTTAAAAATTACGGTTCAAAGGAATTTACATAATACTTATTGATACTGATTTTTTACACAAACAGAAAAAACTTATTTTCCTACCTTGTTTGAAGATGTCTGTCAAACATGATGGTTCATTTATAACAGGGGTGTCAAACATACGGCCCGCGGGCCAGATACGGCCCGCAAACAGGTTAAATCCGGCCCGCGAGATGGTTGTGTAAACTTTATTTTCATACTTTACAATGTAGAGTGAAAATAAACTTATCTTTGTGAGCAAGTGTTCTCTGTAATGAGTATAAATAAAACAAAGCTGCACTCAAGGCTCACACAACAACTTGAATCACATCCTGAAGTTGGCTGCCACTCAGGATGTGACTTCTGATATTGATGTGCTGGTGAAAGCTAAAAGATGTAAAGTAAAATGAGTCAAATATATTTTAAGTGCTGCATGAAACTGATCCAGCCATGTTATCTGTAAACTCTGAATCACTAATTATTTTTATTTTTTTCTCTCAAATTTTCAAGTACACTTCAGGTGTTGTACTATTTTGGATACACTGTCCTCAGGCTCCAGCTTTGTTTTATATTGATTGTATTAAAACAAAGAAAACAATCTGAAGTTGTTTTTAATTTAACGGTCCGGCCCACTTGGGACTAGATTTTCCTCAATGTGGCCCCTAAGCTAAAATGAGTTTGACACCCCTGATTTATAAAGTCCTAGGAAAGTTCCTGTGAGCCAATGTCAGAACCCTGAGACGGGCCGGTGTGAGAACCCTGAGAAAGGTCGGTGTCAGAACTTCCAACTAAAGAAGACGACCGGTGACTAAATTACAACTCGAAAATCTTTAAGTAATTTGTTACGTTTCCAACTGACAACCCGTTCCTTCTCATGTACCTTTCTGCTCAGTCAGATACAGGCTTTAGAAAGAACTCTGTTCAAATCCTAAAAATAAAAGCATGTCTGCGTTTTAAACTAAATTTAGATGTTTTAAACCCTTTTTAGTATTTATTACACTTGCATGAATATGTCCACCTCATATCAAAGAGACTGAGACAAAAAAACATGATAAAAACAACAAATGTTGAGAAATATGATGCATTTCTGGCGATAAAAAAGTTAAATGAAATTAATAAAAAGCTTTTAGCCATAAGAACGTAAAAAACTGCTGAAGTCTCACAAGTTTAATGTTCAGGGTTACAACGGTGTAATAATGATCATTGACCAAGTTTAACTTTCATTATGAGCCACAGCCAAAAGAAGCAATTCTAAGTTTAGAAATAATCTGCCAGGAGTGCATCTCAAGCGGGCGGCTGACCTTCTGGGCCGGGGTCGTCCGAACTATCGCAGCCTTCCTTCCATGGCTGCAGGGCAGCAGTTGTGGTGTCAGCAGTCTCGCTGGGGTCCAGGCTAAACATGTGGTTGGCCCATGCTTTCGCATTGGGGTTGAGGTCTGAAACCTTGGCGGATTCCTGAGAAAACACAGAGCTTTTGGTCATATTTCCATTTGGATTACATTTACAGGAAATGCTGTCAACATTTAAAACTGGATTTGTTAGTAATTATGTCAGTAAATAGGATCAAAAAGGTAGATTTCATGTGATGAAAACAAGATCACGTTTCACAATTTAAACAAGGTATAGATTAAAGGCTTAGGTCGACTTCAGCAGCAGGAAAACTCAACAATCTTATGCCGTCTGAGAAAATAAGACCAACGAGCTTCTGCTGTTCTCCACCTAAAGCAGGTGCAGATGAAGTCATTTCATATTTTAGAAGTGGGAAAAGCAACTTTAAACAAAAAAACAAAGAATTTCAGCCTTACTCCCAATGTGGACAAACAAAATATGAATTTAGGCTTTTTTGATTTTAAAGGTTTCAAAATTAAAACTTAACTCGTTTACTGCCATTGACGACTTACGTTGTCATTTTAAATCCAACCACTCACTGCCATCGCATTTTTTACGGGGAACGAGCCCCCGCACCGTGAGAGTAAACATCACGGCTCGAAAGCTGATCTTCACCCATGTGTGTCACGTGATCAGGAAGAAGAAAATCCATGAATTAGGAGATAGTTTTGGGACGCTGCTGTGGAAAAAAAGAGGCGCTAACTAGGCCGGGGCGATAAATCGACTTAATGAATTTATTCAAATTTTTTGCTGCAGGAGATTTAAAAAAAAAAGTTTATTGAATTTTTGTGTAATAGCGCTTTTGGCCCCCCAGAGCTTCCATAGCGTTAGTTTCTCATAACCGCGACAACAACGTCACAGCATGCACACGAAACAGCAAGCGACTCCATGGCCATCGATGAGAGCAGGAAGTTTGTTCCTAAGAAGGGAATTGAACCATCCGGAACTGGTTTGGGTTCGCTGCGACGGACGTGGAGCGTGGCACTTTTATTCCAAGAGGGTGTTCATTTATTCATCTCAGAAATTAGGCTTACATTTGTCTTGCTTGGATCAAATACAAAACAAAATTGTCTTTAAGGTGTGTTCCATTTGTACTTATTGCTATTCTTAATAACTGAGGGGGAGAGAGAATCGGAAAAAAATCGTAAATCGAATTGAAAAAAAATACAATCGGAGACTTTATTTTTAAGCCGTATCGCCCAGCCCTAGCGCTAACCGGAAAAGCTTCTGCTACTCACACTTCGACAACAGATTGTGAAAGAACGGAAGAAACTAGAAACACGGTGATTCTTCCTGCTGAAAGAAGTGAATCTACTCTTTCGTTTGACAGTTTTGGTGCTTAGATGATCATAGAGCACAATGTTCTGTGACTCTTCAAAAAACCGTATAAATGCTCAAAAACGGTGGCAGTCAGGGGTGTGTGTGTGTGTGTGTGTGTGTGTGTGTGTGTGTGTGTGTGTGTGTGTGTGTGTGTGTGTGTGTGTGTCTCGCTGGAGGTACAGAAAAACAGCTTCATTCAGGCTCGTTAACTCCATAGCATCCAGAATGATAATGAATCGCACATGCAGGAACCTTCAGAGACTCTTCCTAATGGTAGGCATGCTTTTGAGCCAGCCTATAAGTCAGCAGTGGGCGTGACAGCCCTGTTCACCTCTAGACATACCTCCTCAAGAGGGCTGAAAAGGCGTCCAGTTGTGCACGGGAAAATCCTCATTAAAATTACCACCAACCTCATTTTGGTGACATTCATGCATTCTCCTGTCTCAAATGCAAATTTTTGGATTATTTGGAAAAGCCTGCAGAGGCCTCGATAGAAACTAAATGCGTCATCAGGTCCTGATCCTGCCCCTGAAGCTAGTCTCAGACCTGGAACCCTCCACTCATGGAAGTAGGTCACTAATGCCCACTTTATCCTAGCTGTGGACATAGAGGGGTTGATTTCATGCTGCAGTTGAGATTATGACCTTCATGTCAGATGACCGCTTTAAACCTCCACCTGTACAAGAGTGAAGATTCTGCACTGGAGACAAAACACCGCCATAATATAAATACTTCCCGTCTACAAAGATGCATGTAATGGCCAACCCAGGATATGTGTGTTAGGTGACTGATGCTTGGTAGTCCAGTGGTTAGAGTATCTGGACCACCAAAGCCAATACAACAGCAGGCCTGCCCAAGATGCTGTTGTAGGCGCGTTTTGTCGAAGCGCATGTGGGCGGAGCATCACTGAAACAAATCATTTTATTTCAGGGTACCAAGACAAACTGACAAAAATAACTCGTATTTAAGGTAAATGACATCTCAATAGTGCCAAGGGTAATATTTTATCATATATTGTGCCTACCTTTGCTCTCAAAGGTTTAAAATAGCAAAACCTTTAAATCAGGACTGTGCTGATGTGAGCAGACAGAACAGGCTCTGCTGGAAATACTCACAGGATCAAAACAGTGACTGAGCATGCATGTCTCACAGGTTAGCAGGCTGTAACCCAGAGCCGTAGTCAGGGCTAGCGTCTCACTGAACTCGTGTGGCACAGAGGACCAAGAGTTTCCCGTCATTGCAGGTACAAAGCTCCACTGCAACCAATCCATGGGTAAAACACAAAAATAAAATACATCCAGAGGCAGGTGGAGGATTTCTGATCATTATCTTCAGAATTTGGATGTAATCGGGGGTCTCCCACCACAACGTCCATCTAAATCATTCCTGTCAGATCACAGGCAGCACCGTGCTCCGTCTGATCCAAGCTGCTGCTGCGTTGATTCAACAAATCTGATGACAGCACTGATGCTCCACTGCCCTGGTGGGCTAGGCTGACGTTGCACAAGCTGAGTGGCTGTTTGCTCCTGTTCAGCATCCGTGTCTGCTTTTGTTTTGTCGCTGTTGCACTGAGTCATTTTTCCTGGAAAAGGTTTAAGCTGTACATGAGTACTGAGATGCTCTCCTGAGCACAGACGTAACCTCTGTCAACAACATTAAAGGTGTGGGGCACTGAAAAAGAAAACATTTTTATGATTATTTCTGATTATAAACAGTCATTTTGAGTTTTTCATACAGGCTGAACATGAAAATAGTCTCCTACACCCATCTCCTGCATTAGCTTCTGATAAAAAGTAGACAGTGAAACTCTAATTCTATGAATGTTAATTCATTCACTGCCAATGACGACAAAAGTTGTCATTTGCATTTTTTTTTACTGTGTGGGCATCGGAACGAGCCCCCGCACCGTGAGAAAAAACATTTCAGCTCTAAAGCCGATCTTCATCTGCATACGTCACGTGATCAGGAAGCAGAAAATCCATGTGTTAAGAGATCATTTTGGGCCACTGCTGTAAAAAAAAGTGAGGCGCAAACCGGAAAAGCTTCTGCCGATCACAATTCAACAATGGATTATGAAAGAACGGATAAAGCTCGAAGCGCGCGGATTCTTCCTGATGTAAGAAGTGAATCTCCGCTTTGTTTTGGAGTCGACATCATCCTAGCGTGCAACGTTCTGTGACTCTTAAAAAAACTGTAAAAACGGTGAAAAACGCTGGCAGCGAAGGGCTTTAGCGATCAGGAAACGTCTGGCAGCGAATGAGTTAAGTCACAGTGTGACGTAGATCTGTCAGGATTTTTTCATTCTAGAGTTTCACCGTCTACTTTTTATCAGAAGCTAATGCAGGACATAGGTGTAGGAGACTATTTTCACGTTCAGCCTGCTTGCATGTTAAAGTCAGAGTGGCCCATTATTATCAGAAATAATCATAAAAATGATTCCTCTGCTCCCCCCCCCCCCCCCCCCCCCCAGTTCCACACCTTTCATGTAAAAATAACCCACTCAAATTAAGCCAGCCGCCTCAGGACTGTTGATGGGAAAATAAAGATGCTGAGAATCCCTTTTGTCATTACTGGGGCAGCAAAATGAGACAAGATAGATGGCTCCGTCAAAGAGAAACGTGTTCGACAAGATTCAAAAAGAACAAGAGTCCCATTAAAAACACACACATATGCAGGCTGGCTGGCTGCCATAGAAACAACTGCTGATGTCACCGGATGTGTATGTACATGCAGGGCTTCGCTTGACCTTTAAAAAAATTTAATGCTCCAATGCCACAGAAGATGAAAAGGTTAGCTGCTGCACTGATTGAGAGTATTTTGTGGGGAACAGAGAAAGTAATTCATCAGGAGCAGTGGACAGAAGGGACTTACTGTGTGTCACCTGAGGACAGCTGATGTAGCTCCGGGTTTATTGCTCGGACATCCTGATGGAAGGGAATTTGCCTACACGAGCATGATGCGACAAAGAGCAACAAGGCACGAGTCAAACACGGAACAAACAAATCCAGCTGAATCTGGACTCTTGCATCTGCAGAACTGAGACTGGTCTCCCCAAATGATTAGATTTGTCCACCTGTGTGTTAGCTAAAGCTCTCAGCTGTACACAATCAGACCACAACTGGGTGTGATTTTATTCTAAGTTTGACGAAAATAAAACCTATCATTTTTTTTTACTTATAAAACAGCACATCTTCCACAGAAATATTACTTTGCCACTTTTTCCCTCATACGTTTCCACTATATTCAAGTGAAGAGATAGCCTTTCTGTCCATCCCATAATACCAAAGCAAAAGCAAAAGCTAATGTTTGGAACACAGATCATGTCTGGAAGGTTCCGTTCAGCAAGTGGTAAAACAGTAAGCCGGGAAGGCCCTGCTCCATCCAGTTTGGCTGATTTTAACAACCTTTTTAGACAAAGTAAACAATTAACCTGGTTACCATGGCAACAGGCATGGGTTAAGCAGGAAGCTCTTCATTGTATGACTGCCCATCATTTCACAGACTGAAGAACCACCGGAAAACAATTTTTCTTTAAAGGGACTGTAAGGAAGTTTGAAGTTTTTATGCTCGCGATCGCCACTCAGGCCCAACGCGTAACTGCAGCTTCAAAAGTAAGCTTGTGCATGAGGTGTGCATGCTGTACGTGCACACTCCTTAACGAAAATAACAGCTGAGACAGTCCCGAGTGTGTCTGTGTGTGGTGGCCCGGAGAACAGAAGAACACAGCAAATTAATAAAAATAATGT